GACGGCGCAGCAGCAGTTGCCTTGTTGAGAGTTTAATTCCTCTCGAAAATTGCTCCCCTTAGAGCAATGAACCTCAGGGCTGCCCCTCATGTGCAGGTGTTGTAATGCGGCAAACTCTGAGGCAGGGGAGGACCATCTCCTTGCCAGCAGAGCCATTCAGCTGTGTTGAATTACATTTGAAAAAAAAAAAAACAAACCAAAAACAAACCCACAGCTGAAAGCTCTATCATAACCTTGGTATTCTCTCCTTGCTGGCGTGAAATGCAGCCGTGGGCTGACAGCCTCCCCTGAGGAGGACACCTTGCTCATTGAGTGGCCAGAGGCAAGGCTGTAGGAAGGTTCAGCCTGTAGGTAGGAGTCAGGAATTACAGGTACAGGCCGAAGACTGACCAGAGGAGCCCCAGTTAGTTAAAGCTTAGTTACAGCCGTTGCTTCCAATAGATCTGCCCTATTCTGCAAATAGTGGCTGTGCCTGAGGATGATGCAGCCCAGAAGCAGTGTGCTTGCCCACTTAGTCTAGCAAACTGCAGCTGGAGAGAAGTGGCATGGATGGGGCAAAAACTGCCCTGGGTGTACGATAAACATGAAATCTTCTCTGGACAGATCTCTGAGTGCCTTGTTTTATCCCTAGGATAGTTTAGCAGGGTTCTTTGGCCTTTGATTCTGCTCCCTTGGCATTTAGCACTTCTTTGAAGGTACGCCATGTAGGTACTGGCTGGTCCAACTTGCTTTTCTGCCTGAGTTTTCATTGCTCAGAAAAAAGTCAAGACTTCCAGGGCTTTCTCCATCAATAGCAAAACTCTTTCCCCTTAACGTGTTTACAGTTGTGTATGTTCTATACGTGTTGTATCTACATGATCTATGCTTTAGTAGTAGGAGATGACATGATTCACCCAGGCGGGGGTGGGATAAGAGCGTAGAGCTGGACTGCAGACCTCCCCTTGACCCATTGCATGCCAGAGTCGCTGAAAACCAGCAAGAGCTCAGCTCTCCAGAGGCATCCCAGGCAGCCAGGGGCTGGCTGGTTCAAGACTGCGAGGAGTTTAGAGAAACCCCTGGGATGCTTTGACCTGGTCTGATCTGACATCTGCCTGCAGTCTGGGTGGCACGAAACTGTCCTGTATGAGATGTCTCCCTTCTCCCAGGTGAAGCACCGAATTTCCTCCACATGTTACAGAAAAAAAGTACAGACTTACCCCAAAGCATGACATCAAAGAAAAACTCATCTCCTAAATTCAAGGTAAATAAAGTGTGAGTTGAAGCGTGTGGCAGCTTTCTCATGCTCTTTGTCAGATGTTGCCAATCCTTCAGAAGCATGGTGTGGCTCGGGGTTTAGGGAAAATTAACACTTCTGGATGCCTTTTCAGCACTGTCGCAGGAGTCCTAGTTCTGTATGGAGTTGGGTGTGTCTGTCCCTTCACTTGAACTTTCCTGTGGCTCCCATTTTTTCTGCTAATTTGCTGGAGAACATCCCTGTGGTGTGGCTGCAGCTCAGAATGGTTGTGTGCCAGGGCTGTTACAAGGACCACGGGTTCTGTAATTCTGCGTTTATAAGAGAAAAATGCCCTAGGCTGCTGAAGTGTGGGGATTTATGTGTATGGGTGCATGGGTGGCTGAATGAGCAGGTGACTGCCTCTCTGGTCTGATGAGTCTTGAGAGGCCAGCTGATAGTACTGTAGACTGTTGGAGACCAGAAGGACAGCAGAAGGAAAGCAGAGGACTGTTCTGGTGGATTCATAACAGCCCTGAGCACTGAACTGCTGGCAGCTGTTGTACAGCTAGATAAAGGAAAAACGAGTGGCAGCAAGTAAACCCTTTTGCACCTCCGGTGGCAAATGGTGGTAGCCCCAACCACAGACAGGAGGTAGAAAGAGAACAGAGGGGGCAAAACGCCTATTTTTTTCTCCTACTTAATGCAGCAGAAGACTGCCACCACTGCTTTTTCTTCAGGAAGGAGCTGTAGCACTACCAGTCACTGGAACATCACAGAGGCATCAAGGATGCTTGGATGATTTTGTGGAGAGCTATGGGCAGGTCTCTGTTCTAGTCAGCCCATCTTATCCCATGTTAGGAAGTGCAGTGCATGAGACCTTTCCAAAAGTTGCATCAAAGCCTGCTACTTTCTCCCCCTCTTACTTTTAGCTGCTGACACCTCAGGGTGGCTCACCTTCCATGTGTAGGTGAAAAGAGGCCCCATCTTCCTGGTGCGAGTATTCTTAGTAGAAAGTGTTATCCCTTCTTACAATGCACTGCAAGTGGCAAGACACTGCAGAGGTTTTGGAAGAAATTGCACATCTGTGCAGCATAGCATAGCTCTGCTAGAAGTTCTGTGGCTGGCTGTCTTGTGTATCTCTATCTTGTGTGAAAACTGTATCCCAGTAGGGAACGTGTTGGAGGATTTTGCTTTTGCCTTCTATTTTACAGCATGAAAAGCAGAACAATTGGACTGCAGCTTTATTCGGGAGCTAGGTTTGAGGAAGGGAGTCAGGCTTGTGCTGTGATTTATCAGAATTGTTGGCTTTTCAATGCCAGTGGTCTAAGTTCTGATTTTATCAAAGACATGGGCAAAAGGATATGGAGAGAGGCCTGTCCAGAAGCAGAAACATAGCAATAATAAAATTTCATAAAAATATGAAAGTGCAAAACCTGTCAAGGGGTCTTTTGTGGCATTGCAGACTCCTCTGCTCTCTGTGCAAATTTGAGAGGTACTCCTAATGAAAAAGGCCGGCTGGCTTGATTCTTACTTGCATAGGGCTGAGGGTCAGAAAAATCAGAGGCAGGAGGCGTAAAATGCTCTGTTTGCTAATAAATGGGTATAGTTCACTGATGTCAACAAAATGTCAGCAAGAGCTGAACGGGGGCACTGTATAATTTAGTGACCTGGAAGGAGACTATTCATGGTTGCAGAGAGCTTTCATTACAGCTGAGAAGGTGAAACAGGATTGCATTGTAAATGGCAATAACTGGTAAAACCGATCATTGGATCTAGTGTTCAGCTAATAAACAGTACAGTGGAAGTTGTTACCATGACTCTGAGAGGCTGGTAAATGCTACCATATTCATTTTGCAGGTAAGTAACCAAGGTACAGATATACCAACAGAAAGACACAAAACAAACTAGGCAATCCCTGCCTGGCATCTCTCTTATGGCCGTTATGTCATACGTGCCTGTCCTGGTTTCAGTTGGGGTAGAGTAAATTTTCTTTTTAGTAGCTGGTACAGTGTGGTTTGGATTTAGTGTGAGAACAATGTTGGTAACACACTGATGTTTTAGTTGTTGCTAAGTAGCACTTATACTGAATTAAGGATTTTTCAGTTTTCCATGCTCTGCCAGCAAGCAGGTGCGCAGGAAGCAGGGAGGGAGCATGGCCGGGACAGCTGACCCAAGCTAGCCAAAGGGATGTTCCATACCATAGAATGTCATGCTCAGTATGTAAACTGGGGGGAGTTGGCCAGGAGGGGCTGATTGCTGCTTGGACATCAGTCAGCGGGTGGTGAGCAGTTGCATTGTGCATCACTTGTCTTTTCTTGTTTTTTTTTTTTTTTCTGTTTTTTGTTATATTCCTTTTTATTATTATTGTTATTATATTGTATATTATTATTGTTACTATTATATTTTATTTTACTTTATTTATTAAATTGTTCTTAGCTCAACCCGTGAGTTTTACTTGTTTTTTTAGATTCTCCTCCCCATCCCCCTGGGAGTGGGAAGGACTGACCAAGCATCTGTGTGGTGCTTAGCTGCTAACTGGGGTTAAACGACAACAATGCCTGTTGTCCATGCTGCTTCATCTCTGTACGGATAGCCCTTGAGAGCTCATCAGTATGCTTTAAGCCACCTCCTTTTCTCCTCCATGGTAGAGTTAGACAACATCAAGGGAAGAGCAGGAGCTGCTTGCAGAAGGGATCATTATGCTGTAAACAGTGTAAGGATGGTGCAGGGCAGGGTTACAGGGGTATGAGCTAGAACCAGAGCTGCAGGGATGGTGGGATTTACAGTTGCTCCCTTGTTTAATACATGAATGTATATTCACTGTGTGGTTAGACCTTCTAAAGTTGTGGCAGCTTTTTCCGGTGTCTGACTTGGCCAGGTAGCTGATGCAGCGTGTCAGAGAGAGCTTGGCTGTGAAAGAGTACCGACAAGCACCTTCCTTTTTCATCCTTGCAAATATAGCAAGGCACCGATTGGCACTGCAGTGAGGAAAACAGGACTTAAAATACCCTCTGAGAAGCACCCCCATCTTAGGGAACAACGTGGCAGGCAGATCTTGGCGAGGGCAGCTGGCTGGCCTCCGGACTGGAGGCACTCTGGAGTGCAGGCAGCAAGTCACAAGCAATCCCCTCCTTCTCCTCTTTTGCCAGTGGTGGGGGATTTTGTTCTACTCCGTGATTTTGTAGGTAAACAGGAGCTGTATTTGGGTATGGAGGCTGGGCAAGGATTGAGGGCCTTGCTACTCAGAGGCAGCGTGTGGGTTTCTGAGACACCTTGGCTGATCATGCGGTGCTTTGCCTGCTGCACCTTCTCTTGGCCTCGTGGCTGTTTGCCCTGTCTAGAGGCTTGTTCAGAAAGTGTCCTCTCACCTGCAGGACACTGGCTGGAGAAGAGTCATCCTGTAGCTACAGCCTTTCTACTTCCAGGGAGTTAGAAGAGACTTGGCACACTGTTAGGATTTAAAAATAGTACGGGGCTGCATCTTTAGCCAGTGTAAATCATCATCAGATCAGCTGATGCTGCTTGAGGACTCGGAGCATTGCCTTAACCTGCAGTTGGTTTGGTCACCTGTTTTGAGGTCTGCAGTGCATGTAGGTGGTGGTCTCGGGCTTTGAGTAGACATTAGTCCACTTGAGTTTCCACCAAACATCCAGCCGTGTTCACCTTTCAGCTCCCACCTCTTCCTATTTACTATGCTCTGTCCAGCCTTCACAAGAAGTAGTAGCTCATCAGAAGGTGAAAGGTAGTGGTCTTCACTTTCATAATGCTTGGTTTTTTTCTTTTCCAGAGGGACGGGTGCTCATTCAGGACATCTCTTCCATCCCCAGCAGAGGGCACTTGGAGAGCACGTCTGATTTGGTTGTGGACTCCACCTGCTGCAGCAGTTTTTACCAGCCGTCTCTGTATCCTTACTATAACAACCTGTACAACTACTCCCAGTACCAAATGGCAGTGGCCAGTGAGCCTTCCTCAAGTGAGGCTGGGGGTATGATTGTAGGGTCAGCCATGAAGAACAGCCTTCGAAGCCTCCCAGCAACATACGTGCCAAGCCAGTCGGGAAAACAGTGGCAGGTATGATGTTACAGAGGTGCTTCATGGAACAGTGAGGTGGACGATAAGCTGTTTTGGGCCTCATTCTGACCTCCTGTTTGCTGGTTTCATGGCAGTGCAAAACCAGAACCAGATTCCAGGGTGAGGTTTGGACCCATGTTAGGAAAGTTAGCTGAAATGGGTGGTTGTGGTGCAGCACAATGAAAGCAATGATACAGGTGTAGGTAGGTTGCTGCAAGCACAGATAAAGGGCACCCACTTGTTTTTATCTTTTGAGTTACATCATATTAGGTTATGGGCTGTTTTCCAGAAAAAAGACTCCAACTGAATTACCCAGCATAGCGTCCTGGGAGCTTCACGTGTCATTTCTGAGAGGCTTTGCTCTTCAGGACCCTGTTCTTTTCTCTTACATCTTTCACATTCAAGGCACTGAAGTGAGACAGGAGACCATGCTGTTGTGCAGTGAGTTGGTGGCACTCAGTTGAATGTGACATGGCGTGTTGCTAATGGTGTGTTCTGGCAGTGTCAGCTCCAGGGCTTGCAATTTTGACTTGGGTAGCTCAGGTTACAGGCTGTGCCTGAGAGGTTCGCACCAGAGCTCTGCGTACTTCGTTAGTTAGGGTATAAAGCCAACCAAGCCCTCTCACTCTAGGACTTAATAATTGTAGCCTCCAACTTAGTACCAGTCCGAGACTGGAAAAAGGGAAAATCTACCAAGGCAGGGGATTCTTGAAAAAGTAACTGGAGCCACTTCAGTGACCCTGAGGCTGTTTGGTCTTGGGCTACAGCGGTGCTTTTCCGTCTGAGACTGAACTCGGGAGGCTACACCTTCTGAGTCTGCATATGCCTGTGTCCCTTGTCCAAGGGCAGGAGAGGGCACACCTCTTCTCTAGAGCATCAAGAGAGGGCAGGCTGCCTTCTGCAAAGGCTCTGTTGTGAAACCACTCAACAATGAAAGATTAAATGTCCGCCAAAACCTCCTTTCTGAAAGGAACAGATGGGTCATTCCCTTTGTTGACAGAGAATTGTTCTAGCAATTCTGGCACGGGGACCAACTCTGAAAGGGCATTTTAACTTCTGATACTGGGGAGCTGGAACTAAGACCAGGGTGATTAGAATTACTGTAGCTGTCCAAATCACCTTCAGTGAGGCTTCCCTATCATTAGACACTTTTTTCTCAGAAAGGTCCTTCTGAAAATTTAGGGGCCTCTTGGAGCAACAGCTGGCAGTCTGCATTTAGTACTATTCCACGTCCCTTTTTCGCCATGAGTACAGCTGTATGGGGAAAAGAGCTGTCTCCCTTCCTCCTGCAATGTGAACCCACACCACGAGAGCATTCTTCCCTCAGTGTGTTGATAGGCTTCACTGCAGTCACTTTCAAATACATGGAGGTACACCTTTTCAGTTAGGTTAGTTGATAGCCTCCTCTCTAGATGCTGAATTTGATCACCAGAGCAGGAGGAGAATTAGTTGAGGCAAGCTGGGGGTAGGATTTTTTGTGTGGTAATGAGGTGAGGTGCCAGTGCTTTTTTAGCTTTTTCATTTTGGTTGACTTAACCTGGCATGTCATAGCAGAGTATTTCAGATAGAAAGTTTCTTCTGAAGCTTTTGCAGTACCTAGCTTGTAAGAGCATACTGCAGAACTGATGCTTGGAGACACTGTCAACTCAAATGAGTGGCAGCAACATTTGTTTTGTGAAAATAATGTTCTTGCAGGCTGCTAGTCCCACACTTCACCATCCCTCCAGCCAGTAGAAACTTCTGTGGTTTTACTTGCTTGGGAAAAAGGAAGGTAAATTACATGTATTGACTATCCTAGCGCATAGTGTTTGAGGAAGAGATACATGAGAGTATGTTAAAATATGTTAAACCTTGGAATGAAGATGGTGTCCTCTTGGTTTTGTTGTCATGTACTGTCATTTGAAACTAGACTGTATGTGTAAGAAGTCTTGGCCTAGAGGGTCTGTTGTCTCACTGTGAGATTGCCTGTTTCTTGTGGGACCTTTGACACCCCTTAAAGAAATATAAAGCAATAGTGTGTTTTCCATGCATTTTTCTCTTGGGGCCCTGCAGAATCTGTAACTAACTTCTGCTTAAGTGCCACTCAGATTGGTGGGATACCAAAGATGTGATTAAGAAAAAAAGAGGAGGTTGCTGTCAGAAAGGACCGTTTTCCTTCCACCAGCAGGCACCAAGTGCTAGGTGTTCTTTCCCACCTTGTGGGATGTATTGCGTGGTTCCATTCATGTCCATGTGAATTTAGTGATTTACCTGACCTAAGATTTTAATTTCTCCTGGCAAAACCTTTTGGGATCTCTCAGTGCTGTTCTGGTGAGAGGTCTGTCCAGAGAGACTAGAGGTAGTGCTTTCTGCCTGCAGAAGTGACGTCTCCCCAGCTTCTAAATGGCCTAAAACCAGGACTCTCCTCTCCTGTTCAGTAGGGCAGAGTGTAGTTCAAGGTCAGTGTCACTTAACATACAAGCTGTTTCTCAGAGACTGATCTGCAAGAAAGATTGTTATTGCTGGAAGAGTTACGAATCATGGGCTTTGCATACTATTATGACAGCATAACATTGCACAAATAATCATAAAAACTTTTAGTGAGAGCTAGGCTAGATAATGCTTGATGGCAGTGGGTGCAGTGATGCCAAGGTTGTAAAACACTGTGTGGCACTGAAGATAGTTTGTTGTAAGGGGAACGAGCTCTCAGCTGCTGCATGTGGTTAAACATTGATTCTGTGCATAGAAGGCTACCAGCAAGGGAAGATCACAAATGTAGTGTTAAATGGAGAAGGATGAATGAGTTTCTCTGTCAAGCATGGTATGGCGTTGCAGGAGAGTTTCAAAGTATGATCCATGAAGAGGAATCAGACCTTGATTGCACCTTCAGGGGGTTTTGCTGGCAAACCTATGCGGGCTGATTCTCTCCAGAGGAAACACGTAGCTGTATCTACACAGGGATTTTTGCTGGACTGCCTGTACTGACTGAGTCTATTTTTTACATGCATCGGCTTCCTTAACCAGTCTTCCAGTATGCATGAATCTGTTCATGTGACTGGTAGTGCTATAACTGTTTTGATCAAGGTTTTTCATTTTTGCTTCTTTACCAAAATGATAGCTGTGCAATGCCTGCTGTGACAAAATCAGGACAGCTTGCTAAGCTGTGAGCCGACAGGAGGGTTTCTTTGCTGGTATAAGCCACCCATGTTCTCACTGGAAGGTATCCTAGTTTAAGCAGTGTAGACAAGATTCCTGCCTTTTCCAGGCTTTGTTGTTGGAGGCTTGCTTGTTCTGGGATAACTGTAACCACACAAGGATAATTGCATACTTAAAGTAAGATAACTTCTGGATGCAGACAAGGCCTTGAGCAGCCCAGCTTTCTGCTGTTTCAGAGTTTAGGGAGCAAGGGAGAAAAGCCAGGGAGGAAATGTGTGAGTGTGTGTGGGATGGGATGAGGATTAATGCATCATTGAGCCTTGGCAAATAAACTGAATCACTGAATCTTTAATGTAGATTAATGTCAGATTTCATTAGTCTTTGTTCTTTGCAGAGGCTCCTGTACTTGAATGAATTCATAGCAGTGCAAATTTTTTAGATATTTCTGTGTAGGTTTTGTTAATTTTTATATAGTTATCCCAGAAGCTGTATCCATCATGATGTGATAAGCATAATGAAGATGATAGTTTTGGCCAAGACTCCTTCATTCATTTATATTCTGCTGCTTTTGCCAGCTCTAAGGCAGATAATCAGGTATGTCTGGTGTTACACCTGAAGAAGAAAAGACAAGCTTAGGCTGGAGAAGAAATGTAGCAGATGTGGTGGTTACTGTGCATCTCCTTTCATTCCAGTTCTGTGTGAGCATCTGCACCCTCCCTTGAAGCTCTCATAATTGTTCATTACAAGAGGAATCTATGTGCATTCAGTCCAATTAACAGTTAAATGAGTTCACCCACATTAATGCTGCAAGTCAGAGCATGTTGGTATACAGTGGAAATTGGTGCTTCTGAAACTGGTCTCACTGCGACCCACTTAGGGACAGCAACTGGAAGATCATGGGGTGACTGCAGCACAACAAAAGTAAAACCTGGATGGACACGTCTGAATCTAATCAGGTTTAATTATCCAGGCGATGAAACTGCTGGCGTGTGACCCACAGCATAAGGATAATTGTGACTCCTTGTGAGTCAGTGTCCTCCCCAAAAAGTGTTAAAACTTTTTGGTTCCTACAGCTGGACCATTACAAATCTGCAAGATGCAGAATATGCCCCCACACCTCAGGACCAGTGGCTGCATTTTCTTTGTTACTCTGGTAACTCCAGGGATCCTGCTTCGGAGAAAGGTTAAGGCTGGCTGGGGAGGTTTTGGGTGAATTTGAGAATTTAATGTAATTTCTGTTTCACGCTCTCTGAGCTGTTTTTTTCTCTTTCTTTCTTTCCTTTTTTTTAATGCAGCTTGGCAAACCAGTATTCTGGCTTCCAAAACAGCAACTTTTTTGTTCTTTCCTTAAACCAGTTTAGAACAAAACCCTGAAATAAGTATTGGTGAGAGTCAGACTGAGAAATTTTAACTGATTTTCTAATATGGGAATTACATTTACCATTTGGAAGTGAAATATTTAGCATTGCTGAGGTAGGAAACCGTTTTGTAAGGATTTCTTAAAAAGTAGCAAACGTATAAAACTGTCTTTTACTAAATCCAGAAAAGTGTGGCAGCGATAGGGCAGCTAGCATTCGCACTCTTAAGAATAGCTGCTTGCTAGTAAAAAAGATTGCTCTTTTCAGCTTCCACAACCTGTTTCTAGTTTCTGGCACAGTTTTTCCTCCAATAAGCCTGGCCTTCTTACAGAAATGTGCAGTCTAACTCTCCAGAAATAGGTGTAAAAAGTGTAAAATATATGTGCATGTATGTGTGTAAATATATACACATTGTGCAAGTCACCCGACACAATCCTAATTTTATGTGTAAGCAGTGTATTATATACTGTATTCATAACATTCCCTTCACACTACAGATTTATGCTA